TGGGCAAACTAGATATGTCACTTAGCCACTCCACGTTAGAGATAATTAATACTTGTCTAAATTGTTAATTTTTATCCCTATTTGGTTCTAAAACTATCTGTTTTGAAAACCCAAGTTCCAAAAAGCGACTTTTAATTCTTTGACTTTTTTTTTTTCTGACTCATGTATCTTGACTAGCCAGATTATTTTGTTAGAGAGACAAAGTTATAAAATTATGTATTGATAAAATTTTATATAGTTTAAAATATTGCTATGAGTATTCATTTTGTCCCTGTGACTCAGAATTTTTAGTATCAGTATTACTGATTCTGTTTCTTTACCTATAAAGAGAATTACATATTTCATATTTTATGTACATATTCAATAGTGCCTAAGGCACTTGACTGCTAACCAGAAGGCTGATGGTTCAAACCCACTAGCCACTCCTCGGAAGGTAGTTTGGGCAGTCTACTTCCATAGTGATACTGCCTCGGAAACCCAAGGAGGGGTCGTTGCTATGAGTTGGATCCAACTCGACTGGCAGTGAGTTTGGTTAGGGAAAAAAAAAACTTGTGTTGTAAATTTCCACCAAAAAAATTGAAATTTTAATGTCTTTTAAAATCAAACTAAAGTTATGTTTTAGGATTGTTTCAGGTAACACAGTTACAGCTGTGAGCCTATTGTGTGGCTCTTCAGAAATATGCCTTTTCTCCCAGTTCCACAATTAAGCTTTGTAAATTAAGTAAATACTTTCCTTTTTGGGTTTTCTGCTTTTTCCTGGGGGTTCTCCCAGACTATAGCTAGCCAGCTATGATTTATATATGTGTTTCTTGATCTCATTTTGAAAACTTCCTTGATGTTACGTATCTGCTGCTTAATATGTTGAGGTTCACCTGTAGAATAATAGATAGAGTTTACCCAATGGAAGAGAAAAGATTGCTTTGACTTTAAAAAAAATGAAATTTAAAGTTGTAAAATAATACGTTAAACATTACGTTAGTTGATTTAATTTTTATTTATCATTTTTACCTTAATTGATTTAACTGTGCATAAACAATATAATTCCCACTTTGCTTAGTTTTAATTTGATTGCTTTGTGTATATTTATTACACCCCTATTTGTCGTTTAGTCATGTGTTTTTAAATAATCTGTGGCTAAGTGTGAAACTAGATTTATTTGTGAAAATAAAATGTGACACAAGTGAAATGTACAGGACTCAATATTCAAGGCAAGACTGAAATGCCATGCTTGATTTATATTCTGACCTTATTTACATCATTTGTAGGAGACTGTATCAGTCACATTCCCACACTTAATAGAAACAGTAAGGTAATTCAGATGCTTTGCTATAAGGAAAGAGTGTATGTATCTTCTAACAAGGGCAAATCAAGATCAACCATTGTCTTTGGCACTAGGGTAATAGAACAGGGAGACCATTAAGCCCCCAACAGCTACTGTCCCTGTTGATAATACAGTAAGACCAAAGCAGGTTCACTTATTCCTTAACCTTTGTTGTTTCTTCTCTTTTCTCCATTACAAAAAAGAGCTCTTAATCACCACATGATGTTCATAAAATATTATCGTTTGCCCATTGAAATGGTTAGGAAAGGACCTTTTTTTGTATTCTGTGAGAACACAGATACACATCTAGGAATATGACTTTAGTGAAGAAATGGTTATATTACAGCAAATGCAGTGGGAGCTGATAGCCCTGCCTAATCTTAGTTGTTAGTTCACGTTGTTTGTGGTTTCTTTGGTATTATTTACCAATTTTATAATCTATTCAAATGTTCAGCAGGGAAAAAAATGTAACTGTGTACGTGAAAGTCATAATTTACTTGAAACTTTTACTTAATACTTAAAATGTGTTTATATTATTTTTAAAATGCACATGGTTTCAATGTGCTTATTAATGTACTTTGATAAAGTGATGAAGAAGAAATAAACAAAGCAACCAGATTAAATGTAGATATGAGAAAATGCCAAGGGAAACCCTCTGACCCCCCATTTGAGAAATGTTTATGGAAGGATAACAAAGAACCAGGTAGAAAAAGAATGCTAAGAATGGTTCTTGGATAAAAATTCCTCCCGTTTTAAAGGATCTTCTTTGAAGTTTCCTTCTCAGCTGTATGAATAAGCTGTAGGAATTATTTTTATAATGATATCACCTACAAAATGTTACTCACATTTTTTAAACTTCTTTCATAAAAAAAAGTTTGCTGAATAATCATTTAGCTTAAAAAAAATTTAAAGGAATTTCTGTAAATTGCTAAATGATACTTTTTTTCTTATTTAGTTTTTTTTGTGTGTGTGTTCAAGTTATATCAAATTTTTATTAGGTTTTAAAAAAGAACATCTGTTTAATAAAAGCTGTAGAGTTGAGATGACATTTTTAACATCTTTTTATTAAATTTGTATGTTTGGATTTTTTAAAACTTCCATTGCTAGATTTAGTTGATGATTTCAGTCCATTAATATTATCATGACACTGCCTGTCTCAGTATGATTACATTTTTGATTGATGGAATAGTAAGATTGCATTTTTCTTTTTTTTTTTTATTAGGATTTGGGTGAAGATTTACAGAGTAAATTCACTTTTCATACAGCAGTTCACATATACTTTGTCTCATGTCATTGACCAAAATTTACAATGCAGCAGCTCCCCTCCCACTTCCTCCCCATAGTTACCTCCTCCCAGTGTTCATCCCTTCATACTCTTCGAGAGGCCCATTGTCTGCCAACCCTGTATATGATCTTGGATACACTCTCCATTTAGACATACGTAATTGTTTAGCTTGTTCACCTATCTATCCGTCCCTATACCCATGTTTGCTTTCATTAACAACTCAGTATTGTATTTACAAAGGGGTTCATATTTGTTGTTTGTACTGCCCATGTAACTCTCTCTGTCTTTCTCATCCTCAATGCTGCCATATTGGTCACTCACATTTGGTACATTGCCCTTCTCTTCACCCAAATCAATATTTATCTCTATCTATCTAACAGCATTCCCTCCCCTTCCCTCCCACCCCTGGTAACCAACAAAGAAAATGTCCTCCAATATATAAACATTTCCTTAACTTTTACAATAATGGACTAATACAATATTTGTCCTTTTGTGACTGACTTATTTCACTCAGCATAATGTCCTCCAAGTTCATCCACGTTATGCGGTGTTTTGCAGATTCTACATTATTCTTTAGCGTAGATTGCATTTTTCTTGAATGCCAACTAACAAGTCTGACTTATTGGCATCCAACTGTTTAAGTATTTAAACAACATAAGATTTTCATTTAAAAACTCAAGCGTTATTTTAGAAAATCATGAGACCAAAATAGTGTTAGGAGTTGCCCATGCTAAATGCTTACATTTAATGATTGCTTGATATGTGTAACTTTGAATATATGAAATTTTTTTCCCTAAATATTTTACATTTTCTCAGATTTACTTTTATGTCCTCTTTCTACTAAAAGAGACGTCTGTAAAGTATGAGGCATTAGTGTATGACTTCAAATGGCAGTTTGTTTTTACATCATTATGTTAATTTCCCAAGGAAAGAATTCTAGACTTACTTGACAAGTTACATATTTTCATTTATGGAAGCATTAAAACATATATTCAATTTTTTATTGATTATATGGGGTTAATATATTTTTTTAATTCTTTTATTTGGTTACTCAAGATAGCAGTCTCATAGGAAATCTAATGAAATATATATTGTCTTTAGAGGACAAATTAAATGATTAAGAACATTTGTAAAGAGGTGAGGACAAAATGTATTAGGTAAGTTCAGATCAAATTATTTCTGGTTTTCGACATTTGGGATATCCCAGTACTATATTACATTGTAATGAATCTTATCCTTCTAGTTGTGAAGTCACCCCACTAGCGTAAAATAGATACTTTGTGCTGTTATCTTCTAGAGAATCATAAGAATTTGCTTTAGTACACAGCATTTATTTATTTACTGCATTTATCTATTAACTGTTATACTAGTGGTTTACAGATACTTTCCAAATACCTGCTGGGGGTATTTGCTGGCACATTAGAATTCAGAACTATGTACAGTATGTCATTACTCACATTTTTCTCCAAGAGTGAAAGATCACTACTATTTCCTTACTCTCTTGTTTATAGGATTAGATTTCAGGATTGTTTAATTTAAACCCTAGGGATTGTGTATTAGGTCCAGTATTTATTTATCTCATTTTATGACACACTTAATTCTTACAACCATTGACATATAGGTGTCCCATAATTTAGTGGCATTCTAAGATGCTATCAATGAGTTGGCATTATGTAATTACATGGCAGTCGCTGGGCATTAGTTTCTCATGACAACTATGTTGATGTGACTGCAGGTGTTTTCCTTACCCCAAATGAAAAGCTATTAAGATTATCTTCATTGCATTAAATATTCAGCTAAATAGGTTAATTATTAGAAGTTTAGCAAATGTTTGTTTTTACCAGTCCTAGAAATGCCAGGCCATTAAACTAAAATTGCAGCTTAAATTGGGCAAGTTTGATAAATGCATTAGCATACTTCAGTCTAGTAATAAGGTTCTCATGCTTTCTCTCTCCTGTTTTTCATTTCCAGTGTTCTATTTAGGTGAGTTTTTGAATTCTGATTTTTCATTTAAGTTTTCCCTCTCCACTTCATGAATAATTACCCCAAAGAGAATGTCTCATTGTCTTAGAAAATGTCAAGCTTAGGTGCCTATTCAGATGCTCCATTGAACACTTGTTTTACTCAAGCTCTTCATATATAAATGTTTACTTTTCCTTTATTGTTGATGTTTTTCCATTTGTTTCAAGTAAGCCTTCTGGAGATGATGACAATATCATGTTGCAGTCTTTCATTTGCTGTGTGTTTTGTAAAGCTTACATTTTATTTTGCTAGACAAAAAGAAGATACATTTGTAAATATGTGGTGATTTTATGTTATTTTCATGGTTTTATCTCCTCTCTCCAGCTAAATGTAAAGGTAATGTTCATCTATAATGTTTTGCTCCCTTTATAGGGCCAACACTGCCCAGACAGAATTCACAACTACCTGCACAAGTACAAAATGGCCCATCACAAGAAGAATTGGAAATTCAAAGAAGGTAAGTTTACATTATTGTTTCTATCTTTCTACTGCACAGGGCTAAATTATGAATATCCTAATATTGAAAGTAGATTATGTCTTGTCAGCCATTTGAAAGTCAGAACTTTTATTTGTATTTCTAAATATTTGGAATAACCATTAATAAATGAGTAGATACTAGACACAGGATGTTAAAATTTATCTGCTCTTGTATAAGTCATGTTGTTGTTGTTGTTGTTATGTGCCGTCGAGTCAAACCCGACTCATAGCGACCCCTCCTTGGGTTTCCGAGGCAGTATCACTACGGAAGTAGGATTGCCCAACATTCCTTCTGAGGTATAAGTCATACTCAGTGGTAAATTTAAACTATTTCAAATGCACTTAGTAGCACACAAAAATATATTTAGACTTCAGGGATTTTATTTTTATATTGATGCTGTTGAGTCTATTCTGACTCCACCCCCACGTGTGCGAGTAGAACTGCACTCCATAAGGTTTTCAGTACAACCTTTGTTTTTTCCTTTGGAACAAATTCTGTTATATTTATATTGCTATTAGTAATTTCAGCACTAGCAATACTAGCAAATAATGTTTTGTACCCATTAAACTTAGGCATTCAATGGAAGAAGTCTCCCGATTAATTACATTTGAGAAAGGAAATTAATTTTGGAATTGTCTTTAGGGATTCAAAAATCCTTTTCATCTTCTGCAAGCTTTCGTTTTTGTGCTCCAGTTAGTTGTTGCCATTTCATTTTACAAGCAACCAGAAATAATTTCTTTGATCTGTCCTATGATAGTTGTTGGCAGTTCCTTCGCAGATCTCCATGAGTGTTTTTCATCTTGAAATACCACTTAAGACTTGCACACTCACTTTCTGTCCTTTGGTGCTGCATCTTCACCAGTACTGTGACCTTTTGGAAGCGGGTTTCCAGGCCTGTCTTCTGGGGAGCCTTTTGGCCAGTAGTTATAAATTTATCTGCAACCAGTATGACTACGTGACTAATTAAACAGGAAAGTTGAAACAGTCTTAGCTGGTTCTATATGGCATTGATCTTGAGATAGTACCATTGGGTTTACTAGTGGAATATAAGATCACTCTGTTTATGTCTGAACTTTTGGTTCAGTAAGATTGATAACATTATTGTCATCACTGAAGTGCAGTTTAGAAATACATTTGAAATTATAATATAGCCTCCTTTTAGGGGTTAACATGCTCAACTGCTCGCCAGAAGGTTGGAGGCTGGAGGTTTGAGTTTACCCAGAGTTGCCTCTAAGGAGCTCTGGTAGCATAGTGCCTAAGGCATTTGACCGCTAACCAGTAGGCTGGCGGTTCAAACCTACCAGCCACTCCTTGAAAGGAAGGTTGGGCAATCTACTTCCTTAGTGATATCGCCTTGGAAACCCAAGGAAGGGTTGCTATGAGTTGGGTCCGACTCCACGGCAATGAGTTTGGTTTCTGGTTTGGAGAGTTGCCTCCAAAGAAAGTCTTAGCAGTCTCTTTCTGAAATATCAGCCATTGCAAATCCTGTGGAGCACAGTTGTCATCTGAAACACATGGGGTTACCATGAGGTGGAATGGACTTGACAATGACTGTTTTTGTTGTTGTTTTTCTGAATTAGCAAAGAGACTTAATAACAATACTGTTTTATAAAATTCAGTTTCATTCAGTAACTAAATTAAGCAAGTCAAACTAGATGTCCCATTTTTAAATGAAATGGTAACTTTTTAGAGATGACCAGTGTTGTTTTTAATCCCTATTTTGTTCTGAGGAGTTGATAACCATTGTGAGACAGACCATTGTATAGATGGACTTTTCCAATCGAGAAGCATTTGCTCCACAGCAGGCCAGTAATTCTAAATATTTCTTTGTGTGAGCTTTGATTTTAGATCTCATATTTGAAAACATTCTTTGTTTTCATTTTCTCTCTCTGTGTTGTTTTAATTAATATATGTGTCAAGTTCCCTGACAGGCAACCAGAGAAATCTCCCATCATGGTTCAGTCTCAGCTGCTTTGAAATATAACTACTTAGCTCTTGAGAAAGGGTCTCCCAGGATCTTCTCCCAAAATGAATTTTGGTTTCGCTACAGGGTCTATATATTTAGTCACATAATCTGTGTATTCAGTCAAATCACTTGAAATATCCACCAAATATGATAATCCAGCCAACTCTTTTGAGTGATGCTCTAACATACAAATATTGAGTGAAGCTTTAGTAATTGTTAAGAAAACTGTATGTCGTGTAGATTATTTCTCCTCCCAAAGTGCTAGCCTGGCAATGCTTATCTGAACCTGAGGTTTTTCTATTTGTATGTAAGTCCTTCTAAAGGGTTTGAAATGTTTGAATACTCATTATTCATGGATTCTGTCAGTATTTGCAAATTTTTGTACTCACTAAAATAAATTGCTTGTCCCAGAGTCAATACTGGGGTGCATTTCGGCCATTTGATGACACACATGTTACGAGCTTAGATCAAACAAGGCTGGTTCTCTGTTTGCTGGTTCCATATTCCAGATGGCTTTATAGCACATAAACACTGTAAATAAAGAGAATCATCTATAGATTATTTTAAGTTGGGGATGTTGTTTCTACTACAGGCATACCTCGTTTTATTGCACTTTGCTTTATTGTGCTTCACAGATAACTGTTTTTTACCAATTAAAGGTTTCTGGCAACCCTATGTCAGTCAAGTCTGTTGGCACCATGTTTCTAAGAGCATGGCTCACTTTGTGTTTCTGTGTCACATTTTGTTAATTCTCACAATATTTCAAACTTCATCATAATGCTATTGTATACTTAATAGACTACAGTATAAACAGAACTTTTAAATGCTCAGAGAAACTTTAAAAATATATGTGACTTGCTTTAATTGAGATATTCACTTTATGGTGACATTGGGTTTTTTTGTAGTGGTCTGGAACTGCATAAGACTCCTTTTTGTTTGTTTGTTTTTTTCTATTAATAAACCTTCCACGAGACACTGATCAGTTTCTTCCTCTCTCTCCTTATTCATTTCATTTCCATTCCTTTTTAATCTCAATGAGGCATGCTTTTCATCACCATAAATATGCTGAACATGCTGCTTCCACTATTGAGTTACTTCTACTTTGAATTTCTTCTTATTGCTAATCCTTCTTCCCTTCTATTTTTTCTTTTTCCTTATACAAAACTGTACTTCTCTCTAGTTCTGTTTTATTTTCTTTCTTTCTGTGTACAGCATGCCCTTTGGAAAATTGATGATTTGGTTGCATTTTATCTTGTTCTTTTAACTTTTATGCTGAAGATTTCCAAATCTATAACTCCAGCTCTGATCATCCACTTTTGATCCAGACCCATACTTCCAGCTGAAAAATGTCATGGACCATTCTGAGAATTTCATGAAAGCAATGGGTTATGGCCCACCCCAGTCTTGCCCTTCAGTTGTATAAACTCACTTACATGTAAAAATTTGCACATCATTTTAAAGAGTCACAAACCCTCTAAATTCCAACAATGGATCCTCAGTAAAAATTCCTTTTGTTGAGCTCATCCATTTGGATATCCTCTGACACCTCAGTTTAAACTGCTATGATCTCATTCTGTATATACAGTCCTTCTTCTCTTTAATTTCTCCCAGAATTTCAGCTTAGTTTATCTTTATTCAAGATATCCTTTGAGTATACTTTGTTATTTCTTTCTCCAAAAGCCTGGTGGGTTTACTCTTCTGACATTTTCATTACTAATAACTTTCTTCAGAAGTGGCACAGTGCCTAAGGCATTTGACTGATAATCAGAAGGCTGGCGGTTCAAACCCACCACCAGCTAGTCCACAGAAGGAAGATGGGGCAACCTACTTCCATAAAGATTTGTTGCCTCAGAAACCCAGTTGTGGTCGCTATGAGTCAAAATTGACTCAATGGTAATGGGTTTGTTTTTTTTTTTTTGGTTTAATAACTTTCTTCAGTACTTACTTTCTTACACATGTACTATTGCTATAGTTTCCTAGTTGATTTTTCTGTGTTTAGCATTCATTCTTTTGAATTCTTTCTACTTTATTAGTCAGATTAATTTTTTAAACTCTTTTGCATATGGCAAAGAAAATCTCAAACCAGTTGTATAACAAGAAATAAAATGGGGTGGGGGAGCTCTTACACTATTATGCCTTTACCGTCATTCTTATTCCCAGAGTTAATTACTTTTAACCATTTATACTTTTAATACTTTTGATGGCTCCCTCCATAACACTAAATACTACATTCCTATTTCTTAATTAATCAAATTGTGTTATTGTGTGTTATCAAGTCAATTCCGACTCACAATGACCCCGTCCGACAGTGTAGAGTGACTCCATAGGGTTTCTTAGGCTATCATCTTCATGAGAGCAATATCACCTGGTCTTTTCTCCCAGACAGCAGGTGGTAGGTTCAAACCACCAACCATTCTTTTAGCAGCTGAGCTCTTACCCACTATGTGACCAGGGCTGTAGATAATAGCTATTGACTCCACCATGAAAAATGACGAATCTTTACTTTTCTTTGCCAACCATTGATAATTATTATTTGTAATTCTGCTGTTGGTTTCTTTAAACTTGTGTCTTGTTATATTAACTTTAAACTATGTCTCTTTACTGTTCACTCTACAGCAGTGAGTTTAATTTTCTGTTTTGTTTTGTTTTCTGTTAGAGAAGTTAGTTTTGCCACCTCCCTATCCATCTTCTCCATTCTACCACATGGTTTTATTTTCAGGGTTGATATATTTGCAGTCTTTTCTGTAACTGTCATTAAATCTCTGGCTTTATATTTGTGGGTGATCATTATTCTCAAATCATTTTAAACCTTCTTATTAACCATAGTAATCTTGAATATTCACAAATATGTGGCCTTTTTTTCCCCCCATCCCATTTATCTAGCTCAAAACTCAGCTTTTCTTCAAAAAGAAAAGATCCATTCATGACTTTTAAAGTTCTTTTAATTAATTATTTTGAACCTGTCTCTCTTTTCTCTGTTCTATTTTTTGGGAGCTCCTGATAGGGACCTCTG